ATCCATTTGCTCTTCAGTGTGTTCAAACCTTCTGTTTCCTCATTGATTGTCCATAGTCTTTCTGTTTCTCCTTTCAGTGCTGTCACAGTTTGCTATATATATTTAGGTATGCATAAGTATTTTCATGATGAATTAACTGTTTATCACTGTGTGCTAAATTCTTTGTCATCATATTTTGTCTGGTTTAACATAGAAATTGTTGCTCCTTTTTCGACTACCACGTCGATCATTTCCCATCTTTTTACTCTCCACCTTGATGTGTCTTAGATATAAACAAGTGTCTTGCACACAGTGTATAGTTCATTCTGCATTATTTAATTGATTCAACAATCTATATTTTTGGGGGAGTTTAATTTATTTATATATAAGGTAATTACTCATAGAAGCCAGGTACCAGTGACTCACACCTATAATCCTAGCTACATGTGAGTCTGAGATCAGAGGATTGCTGTTATAGGCCAGCCTGGGCAAAAAAGTGTGCAAGACCCATCTGAATAGAAAAAAAGCTAGGTGTGGTGCCGGCAATGGTGAGAACCTTAAAACAGGAGGACCTTGGTTCAAGCCAGCCTGGTCAAAAAGTGAGACCTTTCTCCAAAATAATCAGAGCAAAAAAGGCTGGAGGTTTGGTTCAAGCAGCAGAACACCTGCCTAACAAGTGTGAAGCCCTGAGTTCAACCCCTCAGTACCACCAGAGGGGGGAAAAGTAATTACCGATAGGCCATGTTGTTAACTGCTTTCTAAATGTCTTGTAACTTTTTCTTTACTTTCCTTCCTTTGTGTTTCATTAAAATTTTTTGGAAGTACTATGCTTTGATTACCTTATCATTTTCTTTTGTATGTATTATGTAAATTTTCTTCTAGCTGTTATTAAAAGTACATGAAACATTTCAAAGTTACAGCATTTTATTTTAAACTGATAGCAACTTAATTTCAATTAAATGCAAATATTCTTTCCCTTTATAGCTCTTCCCCTACCCCGTTGTATTGATATCATGAATTGCATTTTCATGTTTTATTAAAATATAAACATTAACATAGATTGGGGGTATCTTTTGTTTTTAAATTCCGTGCACTTACTTTACAATAATACCCATCACTCTACTTGTCCGTGACACTGCCTTTATAAGAGAACCTTATGTTTTTATAGAGCTTTGTGTTGCTGCTTACTGTTCTTTTTGTTTCAACTTAAAGGATTCCCTTTAGCATTTTTTGGTAGAGCAGTCTAGTGCTAATGAACTCCCATCACTTTTGTTTAGGAAAGACTTGATTTCGCCACTTTTTTTTTTTCTTTGCAGTACTGAAGATTGAGCTCAGGGCCTCATATTTGCTGTGGCAGCTACTCTGACACTTGAGCCACACCCCTGTCCTTCTGCTCTTAGTTTGTTTCTTGTATAGGGTCTCAGGCTTTTGTCCAGGCCAGCCTCAAACTGCAATCCTCCTACTGTGCCTACTGACTCGCTGAGATAAAGGTGTGTGCCACCATACCCAACTCTTCTTCATTTTTGAAGGGCAGTTTTGACAGGTACAGTATTCTTTGTTGTCAGAATTTTCTTTTTCTTTTCCTTGCAATGCTTTGAATATATCATCCCAGGACTGGCAGAGTGGCTCAAGCAGTAAGAGTGCCTACCTAGCAAGCATGAGGCACTGAGTTCAAACCCCAGTGCCACCCAAAAAAAAAAAAAAAAAGAATACATCATCCCTTTCCCTCTGGCCTTCAAAGTGTGGCTGAGGTATCTGCTGATAATCTTCAGAAAGCTTACTTGTATGTAATAAATCACTTTGCTCTTGTTGCTTTTAAGGTTTGTAATTGACTATTTATACTGTTTGATTATAATGTCTTGCTGTGGTTCTCTTTAGATTTTCCTAGCTGGGGTTCTTGGAGCTTTTTAAATTAGATATCTATTTATTTCCGCAGATCTATGAAGTTTTTAGACATTAATTTGTCAGATAAGCTCTCTGCCATTTGTCTTACTTTTAGCTCCTTTGTCTTTTCCTCTTGATACCCACAATGCGTGTGTTACTCACTTAATGTTGTCACTTAAGTCCCATAGGCTCCCTTTACTTTTTCTTCTTTCTTTCGTTCCTGATTTCAAACAACTTGTCTTCATGTTCACTGAGTTTTCATTCTGCCTTCTTCACTCTGTTCTTGAATCCATCTAAAGAAGTTTTCAGGTCCAGAATTTCTAGTTTCTCTTTGTCAATATTTGTATTCCACTCATGTATCATTTTCCTGATTTTGTTTTTTTACATATATGTTCTCTTAACTCATTGAGCATCTTTCTGACAGTTACTTTAAATTCTTTGTGAGGTTACTCATAGATCAATGTTTCTTTAATGTCAGTTTTTGGAGTGTTATTTTGTTCCTTTGATTGGGCCATGCTTCCTGTTTCTTTTATGCTTGTAACATTTTTCTGGGATTTGGTCATTTTTATAATCACCTACCTCTCTAAGCCTTTGCATACTGTGTTTGTGCACATTCAGCACAGACGGGGGTTCTAGAATTCCTCAAACTTTTTCTGATATGTTCTGCCCCTTTTCATCTGCCCACTGAAGTGCAGTTCTGTTCACTGCTCCCCTCTGTTTCCAGTGTCTTCCAAAATCTGATGCTGGTCCTATGAATGTTCCTTCTAGTCGAGAAAGAGAGGGCCCAGTTTTTTGGTCAGCACCCACACAAGTCAGAATATTGGGCACATGGTTCATTCTTTTGTTTCTGTCCCTCTGGTATGAAAGGCTTTCTCCTGGTTGCTCCACTATGCCACAAAGGAGGAGGGAGGGGAGCACTGGCATGCACCAACAGTGCCAGATTTCTTACTCACTGAAATTGGAGTCTCTTCTTGCTTTTGCAGTGTCCTGAGTACTATAGCTCACAGCTGGTCTCTAGAATTCTCATAGATGCATTTTGGTCTGTGTATTGTTAGCTTGATGCCTTTGTGGAAGGAGGGCTTGTAGTTTCCTAGTATACCATCTTGCCATCACCACAGCTATTGTTATTTCAAGCAATGTGTTTTCATAGTTATTTCTTTCTCTCTACTCAGTGTACCATTCTAGTAAATGCCACCTTGAAACAAAGCAAGATGCAAAGAACAAGAACCTGGCTTTGCTATTTCTAGGGGGCAAGAAAATCAGTTGTTCACATAATGATTCAGTGTTTGCCATGGAGTTGTATGTTACTTGTTTTTATGTCACTACAACCCAAGTACATGACAGGAACAACTTCAAGGATTAAAGGTTTGTTTTGGCTCACAGTTTCAGAGTTGTCAGTCCATCATAGCAGACAGTGCACAGTACAGCAGAGCAGTTCCCATCATCATGGCCAGGAAGCAGAGAGCAACAAGAGGGGCTACTGGAAGGGATAACCCACACACACATGCCCCTGTGACTGACTTCCTCCCACCAGGCAGGAAATTCTACCACCTCCCAATAATCTATTCAAATTTTTAATCCATTAGTGGTTTAACCATTCATTAAGTCGGAGCCCTCATTATCTAATTGTCTCTCTGAACACCCTCACAGACACACCAAAGGTGTGCTTTACTGAGCTCCTAGGCAGGTATCAATCCAGCCAAGTTGGCAATCAAGATTAGCCATCACAAGGTGAGAGTAATGAACTTGCCTTGCCTGCCCCAGAACTTGGGGGTAAAGGTGTATCATCCCCCTTAACCTGCTGGAAGGACATATAGTGTATAGCATTGCTGAGTTGCACTGATAAAACCTTTGGTTTAATGATATCTCCAATAAGCCAAGTAATTTTCCTAAAACAATTTATAATCTTCATAATTTTATATCATTCTTTAGGAATGATATATAGTTCCTAAAGAACTGATTTTCTTCTTCATTCTTTAAAACGTAGGTACTAAGATGAGTGCACGAAAGAACACTGTGAAATCTGATCCTGTATGCCTAGCTTCATGAGGGGGACATAGCCCTATTGACTTTTCTGCAATTAGTGGAGATAACTTGTTTTATAAACTTTGGCTTTGTCAATACAAGTGGCCATCATTAAAACAGATAAAACAAAAAAGGAACATGGTAACTGAGAACTAGAGTTAATATTACTTTGGAAATGAGCCAAGCAAGTGCATAAATTAATGTTTGTTTGCAGCAAATTTCCACCTCTTTAGTTCATGGTGCCTGTTGTATGCCATGTGATCACAACAGTGGGACTGGGTGGGCAGCATGCTTTTGGCATTCTGTCCTTGTTCACTTTCACATCCTCAGAGGGATCTTGAGTAAAATAAACATATTTTCTTGAGCAACTATTTTGACTTGTTTCCTCAGTTGCAGAGTCAACCAGAGACCCTTGGGTTGCATTAGGTTGGGTGTAGTTTGATGCCTCCCCTTACTTTGCCGTCATACACACACACACACACACACACACACAATCACTGCACATCTGCAGTCCCCATGAAGGTTTCTCCTATGCCTGCGTGGTGTAATGAAGGAGAATATTCTTAAGTCCTGGCTTTGAAACTGTTGTTAATTGTTAACTTTTGCTGAGTCTATACTTCAAAGAAGGCACCAATCTCAGTGTGTTAAGATTTTAGCTGTTAGATAGTGCTTGCAAGGAGGAGATACACTGCTACACTAATGTGAGGCATTAATGGCTGGATGAGTTCAGTCAGGTATGCAGCCTCCAGTGTCTTCATGTAATGATATCTACTAGATTTCAAATGGACTGCTGAGAAAGATGAAATATAATCTCGTGTATTATCTGTCTTGAAAAAAGTTAATGAAATTGTTCTCTTGCTTGGCATATATTTTATTAAGCTTTGTGGAGTCAACTTAAAGATGTCCCTGTAGAGTTGGAACCTTTTGCTTAAGTGGAGTGTTGTTAAGTGCATTTGTGAGTCCTAGGAATCATGGGATTGAGAAGGGCAGGTAAGTTATTTTTAAAACAGAGAATAATTATTATAGCATGCTCTGAGGCTAGCTGGAGAAAAAAAGATGTAGTGTAAATTGTATGCAACTGAGGTCTTTTTGTTTGTTTTTCTTCTTTACAGAGCCTGGATACAGTTCTTGTGGAATTCAGTCATAAGGAGTTATTTGATTTCTACAACAAGGTCTATATTTTTTAAATAATTTTTCTGACGTGTAGTTTTCCTAATGTTTCCTTAACCTTATGAATTTTTTAATGCCCTGTTATGCAGGGAAGTTCTTTAAACTGCCCTTATAAACACCTTATGTTTAATAGTAGGGAGCATAACTGGATGCAGAGAATCTGAAAAAACTAAACGAGGCAGAAAATGAAAATGGTTTTAATTAAAGCAAAGGGGTTGTCGCTTTAGTGTGTGCTTTACTGTGTGATGCCTAGCGACACTGATACTGGACATATAGATCACTTGAAATACTTTAATTTCTGCAACCAAAGGTTAAGGGAAGCACAGAAAGGAAGAGGCCAGTTTTAGAATTTATCTTTGAATATATGTCATGCTTCTATCTAAGTACTGATTTTGGGGAGAAAATGATTCTCCCCAGCCCCCCAACTTAAAAATCTTATCATGTCACAGTAATTTAAAATGAAACATAGGGGCTCGTGGAGTGGCTCAAGTGGTAGAGCGCCTGCCTAGCAAGCGTAAGACCCTGAGTTCAAATCCCAGTACTTCTAAAAAAGAAACTCCCACAATGATAAAATTAAACGACTGGGCATATTTAGTAGTATTTAGGAGTCCTTCTTCTTTACAAATTTAAAAGTAAATGACAAACATAAATTCTAATATCTTCACATAAAAAGAAAGAGTACTCCAAATGCTATTTTTATTGCCAAGTGAATGGATTGGGCCATTCTTTCCCTTTTAATTGCATGTTTCTAAACACTTCATATGATCTCTCACCAACTTCTGTCTCTCTCTCTCTCTCTCTCTCTCTTTTCTCTCTCTCTAGCTGGAGACCATACAAGCACAGCTGGATTCCCTTACGTGAGGTTTTTGAAGACTGGTGTCTGCATCACATTCCTGCCACCTCATTATTTTGTGTTGAAGAGAGATTGCTTGGCTCTATTTTTCTGGAGGAATCAGTGAATTTCTTTCTACAAATTATATGGTTTATCACTTCTTAGACAAATAACAGCCAAGGGAGATGACTGTTAGTAGCACAGAGGTTCTGATACACTTTCTCTGTGAGCCAATAACAATTGTTAACACTTTAGGTTTAAAGAAATCAAAATTGAATACCATAATGTCTTTCTGTCATTGTTGCCTATTACCTTATCTGTTCATGTTTTACATGGAGAGAGTCAGTAGATAGAAGGTGTAATGTGTCCTCTAACAGAAATAGAACTTTAGTAATTGCATTAATAAAATTTAGAAAACATCCATATACAATCAAATACATTATGGCATTTTTCTATAATGAATATATTTTGTTGTTGAGAAATAATACAGGAAAGAAATTTAAAATAGAGTTAGTAGTATTATGTCTGTTGATTGCAATGTGGGCTTCTCTATCCATGTTAATTTTTGCCTCTGGGCTCAATGATTTAATAATAGACCAGGTTTTTGTATGCTGTTCTTTGTACTGCACATTGGTAATGATTCACTTCATCATATGGGAGACATTCAGATCATGAATGAAAATGATTGTAGCAAGTCCTCAGTGGGCATCCTCGAATTTTAAATCAGATTCCGTGAGCATTCTCTCTCTCTCTCTCTCTTTGAATGTGTTATTTGGTTTCAGTCCATAGAAAGTTTTGTTTTAGAATTTGAACTGGTGTAGAGTGTTTTCATATTATATGTTTTGTAATGCATTTTAAGATACGACCGTCTAAATGTATGATTGCCTTTAAATGTAAGTCGAAATTTTTATGAATTAAATGTCTTACATTGTTTCTCAGGGGAGAGGACAGTTCAACTAGACTTTCTTAAGATGAAGAAATTTGATTTCAGAAAACAAGGCTGTTGCCATTGAAGCAAAGCACATTTCTCATGAGGTGTTTGAATAATAGAAGTGTTAAATGTCTCCCAAATAAACGTTCAATAGATAGAATTTATAACCACAATTGTTTTTGTATACTTATAGGTTGTTGCTTAGGAAATTTGAAAGTTTGAGTTATTTCAGAAATCAAATATTACAAATACTATTGTCCATAATTGATTGACTATATAGGTTTTTCAAATTTTCACTTTCCATTGTTAGTATATCTGTAAGGCACAGTTGTAATGGAATGGGATTTGTTTCCTCATGTGGCTTGTAGGGTCTCTCTTATTTTTTGTTCGTGTTTTTGATTTCTTTAAACAAGCTCTCATTGTGTTACCCAAGCTGACCGCATACTCTTGGACCAGGTGATTCTCCCACCTCAGCCTTCCTGAGTGGCTGAGACTAAACCACGCACTGTCTCATCTGGCTTTCACTTTATTGTGCTCTCATTTTGCCAGTTCCCAGAGGTAACTGAGGTCCCAGAAGTATTATGAACATTTTGGTAAACATTATTTTAGACTTCTTTTCATGAACATGTGAATACCAAGGCATAATCCCAAGTTGAATTTGTTAGACCCTCCTGACAGTGGCCAGCCATGTAGGTATGTAGAAGGTTTTATTGGTTTAATTGAATTCCTGATCTAAATATCTAAGTTACATATGATAATGACAAATGAAGTTCATCTATGCTTCCTAAAACTGTCAGGTCTTACACTCTGTAAGAATGTGTCTACCTATAAGAATATGGTAAAAAATATTCTCTTAACTCAGGTCAACAAAGTCTCATTCAAAGACACTAAAGAAGGTGCAAGAAGATACAGTTCCAACTAAGAACATAACTACTGCTAAAGTGTATTTAACTAAAAATCACCTTTTTCCTTAAGGCATTACCATTGTTGTGAAACCCACGTCAAAGGAAGTTTGATGTTTCCAAACAGTGTTTAATGTATGCTATGTATCTTTAAAAAATACACTAGGAGATCAGTATCAGCTGGAACCTCTCTCAGCAAATGTATAACCAGTGCCACATAATGTTTTGGTCAATGACGGACCGCACATACAACAGTATATGCCATATAACCTAGGTGTGTAGTAGGCTGTACCATAGTAGGTTTGTGATTTCGCACAGTGATGAATTCACTAGTGATGCGTTTTTCAGAACATATCTCCTCAGTAAGCAAAACATGACTGTATCTCTTCTATGAATACTTCACATGGAAGTGAAATTATTCATTAGAATAAAGAGCCAGTGTACTTTTTCCATACCTTCTGTGCAAGTATTTTTAGTTTGTCTCTGATTATAAAATACCATTTGATTTTTTAAATTAGAGAATATAAAAAAATCATAACCAACCTAAACCCATCATCCAGAAATAGCCATTAATGGCATTTTACTAGAACTTTGGGGTCTTTTCCTATCCATATCTCTTTCTTCTTCATTTTTCTTCTTTTCCTAACAGATTGAGGTTATGCTATCAATACAATTCATACTTTGTTTATGTGACATTCTAACATGCATATTTTTCATATTTTTAAATATTGTTCAAAACAATTTTAATACGTATTAGTTACCATTGAAAGAACAGTATTTGAGTTATTTCTCATATTATAAAACATATCGGTTATTTCCAAATTCTGAACACAGTAAAGAACTCACTGGAACATAATGCTAGACCACATCTCTAACTTATTACTGTATAGATTCCTAAATGAGCAATCATAACATCAAAAGTATAGAAATTTATTTTCCATATTTTTCTGTTATGGTATTTTTATTATTAAAATAATAGTTTCCCATTGGGAAGAAATTAAAAGTTGCAATATTTTGCCATTCTACTCCCTAGAAGTACTTACTTAATTGGTAAACATTTTAGGCTATATATTTTCAGACATTACATAAATTCAAATACAAATATTTTTAAATGTACTTGCATTTGTTTCAAAGCCTTTGCTAAATAGTTCCAAATTGCTTACCCAAAGGATTCTTTCAGTTTGTACTCCCACCAACAATGAATGAGAATTCACATTCTTCAAGCCATCTTCATCAGCCCCTTCCTCTGACTATACATTTCACCATTAGCATTCTTTTTAATTTGAGATTATGGTTTGGGGACAGTGTGAGGTATGCATGGGTTGAAGAAAAGGGAATTTTTTTTAGTTGAGATATGTTATTTGATTACTCCAGAAGGACTGAAGAAGCAAAAAAATTGTAATCCACAAATGTGGAAAGACAATACATACCATGATATTTAAGTGTAAGGGTTTTAAAGTCAGATATTATTTCCTCTGTAAATATTTACTGAGTGCTGTACTTCCAGGAACTACATATGCTAGGTGCCAAGTGGGCAGTGATGAACAAAGTAAACACAGTTTCTGACCTCTTGAAATGTAACATGTTGGCCAGTAAAATAAGCAAATATGCAATAAATTGACAAGTTATCAAACAAAGTGTGATTGGATTCTACAAAGGAAAAATTAAAGATAGAACCAAATAAATTATGGACTCAAGGAAGGATTCTCTGTGGAGAGTTGAGCTGAATTGACAGGTTATAATGACTAAACAGAGTTATAGAGAATGGCCCATACAGCATAGCTGAGGTTAGAAAAGGCTTAGTGTGTTTCGGGAACAAAAAACAATGTGGCTAGGTTGAAGTCAACAATGGAGGAGTGGATCATGCTAAGCTAGAGACACAGAGTCGTTCTCTCACCAAATTCTGCCATTTCTACCACCAGAATATATTCAAAATAAGTCTCCAGGTAACTATACTGTCCGATCCACGATCATCTTTGTCCTACACTACTCTCCATCTACTCTAGCCCTCTTCCAGTCCAGACTGCATACAGAGTTAATGCTTTTTAAACATTGATTCTATCAATTATACCATGTTCCTGCTTAAAACGCTCAAAGGATCCCATAACACACCAAATAGAATGTAACTATTTGGCCTGTCAGTGCAAGAGTCATATCCTAGTTCTACTGCATGTTGTGTGTGTTGAGCAAGATAGTTAATTTGCAAAAGCTCGCTTCCTTTGGCTTTTAGGGGAAATAATAATAATTTAAATAATAGGAGTGTTTGGATGACTAAATGAGATTATTCACATTAAACATTTAGCATAATCCCTGATTCCCAATGATAATATGATAAGGGTTAATGGCATTTTTATAATTCCCTAAGAAAATAACCAGGCTTTCTGCTGAAGTGGTTCCAGGTGAGGTTTGAATTAAAATCAAAATTATAGAAAGCTTATTATGAAGCTCCTTCACTAAATTTATTTGGAGTTCTAATAACAACTCATTTTTTCTAGCACATTGCTAATCCACAATTTTTACTAACAAAATAAGATAATTGGTATGTAATAGAGCCAGAATCAAAAATATTTTTTTTCTGAGTCCCTTGCCATATGGCCCTCTAGCTTAAAAAAAAAAATCTTTTTTTCTAAGTTGACTCAATGAATTTTGATTTCTTCTAACCTTAAATATTGTCTTCTACACTTTATTATAAAAGCGGCTGGAATATGATGGTCATGCCTGCAGCATGTCTTGGTGATTAAAATTTTATTAGAGCTGTGTTCTATTAGTACACGCACTCTAGAGACTTTCTTCCATCCTGGCTTTGAAGAAAAAACTTTCTACATTATGAGAGAAGCTATAGATAAGGTCACATGGCAAGAACCTATGGGTAGAGCTGAGGTAGAACAACATCAGCAACAATTTGAAGCCCTCAGCCCTACGATCACAAATAAATTCTGCAAACAACCTGAATGAACCTGGAAGTAGATTCTTACCCAGTCAAGCTTCCAGCCAGGAACACAGTCCAACCAACACCTTGAGTACAGCCTCATAAGATTCTAAACAAAGGAACCACTTGGCTGTGCTTAGACTTATGACCCCATGGTAGTCGTGAGAGAATAAATGTGTGTTGTTTTAAAGCTCTAAAGTTGTGTGATTTTTTTATGCTGCAATAGAGAACTGAAGACAACAGCTGTGCTCATTCGTTTATGTGTAATTTGTGTCTGCTTTGGCACTGCAACAGCAGAATTGAGTTACAACAGAGACCACTTGGTCTTCAAGGCCTAAAATATTTACCACGTGGCCCTTTGATACAAAAAAAAGTAATGTGCAAAACCCTATTTTATGCTGTGCTTCCAAAATTGGGGCATTCCTCAAAGAATATAATAGTTGGTAGAGGACACAAAAAGTCAGAAGATGGACATGGTGTGTATTTCTGTAGCTTCACTTTTACTTTGGTTTTTACCAGGCACATAGTCATCCAACAAGCAATTAACATTTTCCATCCCTGATTGCAGCCACTTCAAGCTGTGTGTCGAAGGCTCACCAGTGATTGCGACTGAAACATACATCTGAAGCTGAGTGGGCTGTGATTGAGCAGACCAGGATTACAGTGCCCTAAGGGTTAGGGGAGCAATAAGTTGGAAGGAACCTGAGTCCCTGGATGTTCTCATGGAGCACTACTGCCTGTATGCCCTTGAGATCTAGACCACTACATGAGAAGTAAAACACCTTGTTTGAGCTACTGTATTTGGGTCTACATTAAGCTATAAACAGCAGTGTTACTTGTAGCCTAACTAATATGGTAATAGCATTTTAATGGGGCAGTAGTTTAAAATATTTGTATTTTAAAGAGAGCTAAACATTTTACAGCATATAACTCAAACTACATATAAATGTTAAAGGGAAAAGGAAACTTAAAAAAAACTGGTAAACCACAACTTCAGTAAACTCTTTGCTACTTAGATTCCCCTTCCCTCATTGTAGCTACTTTGAAGAAGAAATTGAGAAATTGTGATTGTACATTATGAATGTCCCCTGAAGTCTTCACATATTCCCCCTCTTTGGCTGGAGAAGAGCGGTAGGGCAGTTCTGACTTCTTCAGGCTCATTAGTCAGACGCTGCTCAGGATCAGTCAATTTCGCTTCCCTAAAACTTTGATTTTTGTTCTCATTATGCAAATCATCTACTCAATAGACCAGGCTCGTTTAATGCTAAAATTAGAAACACATTAATTTGAAGGATTTTATAGTAAAGCTTAATGGCATTTATAATTTTAGAGAATTTAAGGGATTTTTATCATTGCTCCTCTTCCCCCCCATAGACACTTGAAATATTTCCAAAGCTCTTCCCATCTCTGAAGTATAAGGTTGTACCAGCTGATACGGGGCCCACGATCCAAATCCAAGTGATGGCAGGTTTCATAGGTTTCATAGCCTGCTTTGTCTTCTATTTAAAAAAAAAAATAGCAAAGATAAAAGTATAGCAATTCCAGTCTATCAACCCATAAGGAAGAGGATATCTCAGGATTAGCGACACCATTTCAATCTCCAAGGTGGGAAAAATATGAATATATAATAATGCTCTCCTTATTCTCCCCTTAGTAAAGCCAGAGTTCAGAGATTTTTATCATCCTTTAATGAGAATTTGAGAATCTCATTTTTTAATGACTTGATTTTTTAAAATATTTTTTTCTTCAAAGAAATCTAGGTAGTAAGTTGAAGAGCTGCATTTGTTTTTATTGGTGATTGGGCCTTGATTGTTTATTGAACAAATAAAAATTGCATATGCATGTATTTTTGAAATAGAATTTTGAAGAACACAGTACATCCTGCCCAGCCTACTTAAGGAAAGGTCAATAAAGTTTTACTCACCTATAACAAATGCGGGCTTGCTGGAAGGTGTGGAACCCAGTGACTCCTCCAGGTCTTTCCTCACATCTCCTTGCTTCTGAAATTTCTAGCTTTCCTTGATGCTCTGTTTCTAGTTAATACTGCAGATCCTTGCTGAAGGTTTAGCATCTACACTACCGGTGGACAAAGCAAAAAGCTGTCCCCAAAAAAAGACTTCCACACTCCCACACTAGATACTTCCGTGCCCCTCCCCACACAGGAGCATGGTTCTACTTTGGCAGAGGAGCACAGTAATTTTCCAGATGATCAGAGAAAGAGTGACTCATACATTCCAGATCGTGGGCTCCACATTGCAATCCAGCTTCTCTATTATGTGCTGATGTAAGTAGTTCTGCGAACATCAGAATTGTAAGAAATACTGGCTGAATCAATTAATGAAAGACAAAACATAGTTTTTTCCTCTGCCTCTCCCTTTATTTGTGCAGTATCATCTGAATTCTTAAAACAACCAAAATGATTGTAAACCTTAAGTTTTACAGGAGTAGTTTTCTGACTGCTTAAGCCAAATACATTGGTACTTCCATTAAGGAACAGCTACTGCTCTTGTGGGGAGGAG